CTCTTATCTGAGCCATTTCGTGCTGTAAAGCTTATAATTACTGTAGAAACTTGTGTAGCATGTCAGACAAAAAATATCTGATACGAGTTATCCGTTGATGGCTGTATGGGATCTGCTGGACCTCAACAGTCAGATATTCTTAATGTGCTTTTTAATCGCATACATGGGGCAGTCGCTATAGCAATTGATGGAAAGTGACCAAAAGCGAATGAAGATTTTTGAAATTGAGTCTGTGATATTTGATTTGAACTCAAGTTGAAACTTCGGAGTTAATGGAACTGCAACTCAAATCCTCTTGAACTGATTGCAACCGAAGTTTCAGTTTGTGCCTAAATGGCGGCACATGTATAGATGGTGTCAACTCATACAGATGCCGCTGCCAACGCGGATTTACCGGAAAAAACTGCCAGCATCAAATCGATTTGGAACAATTTAATACGACAGATTTACTCGAGCATGAACTCTGTGAAAAACATGATTGTGCAGCAAAGGTACTGCATACTTTCTTGCTAAAATTCATGAACGGATTTTACCTTTTGGATTCGATAGTCAAGCGGGATGGACAAAACAAAAAGAGTTGTTTTAAGAATTATTTTTTTCATATTGTAAATGCGAAAAAATCAAAGCTGAAGCAGAAAACACCAAACAGACGGTCCGGAACTAAAACGAATTTATCATTAAATGTATTACAATAGATTTGCCAGCAAGTCCAGAATTTTCGATCGAGCGACAGCTCTTGTTGTTTTGCCTTGAGGGGCTACTGGCATCACATTTTGAAAGGGTGGTAGGAATAATACAAAAGCTTGCAGAATTTAATAAATTTTTCTTTAAAATGAATAGTTTTCAAAAAAAAAAAATGGATTTAGGAGTGCCAAAAATCTCATATTTGTTGAGGTGAAGAGCAAAAAACTGCCTCTGAAAATTGACTGAACCAGTGATTGGTTAATGTTTCTATTAATTTATGATATTGATTTTGTCTTTACCACTTGTAAGCAAAAATTAATTGTCATTATCACTAATTGCCACTAATTGAAATTAATATTCATTTATAATATAATTCTTGTAAAACACAAAGGCCATTTGGAACTACTCGAGTGGAAACGCGTGCCAGTAGAACCACCCGTTAGCTCCTCTTCCGCGAGCTATTTATAAGCAAGCTGATAATGAGTTTCACTCCCTGGCAAGGATCACTACCAGTTTATCAGCGAAACGAATAAACAGATCACAGAGGGGATTTGTTGCCACACTGGCGTAGTGAAACCTTCGATCTTAGGTTTGAGAACAGCACTGCTTACCGCCGGACCATGGCCGTGCTGTTGTGAATTGAATGATAAATGGTAATTTAATATATACGATGCTATACAGCTTTACAATTTAGGCAAAAAATAATGTGTGCGATCAAGCATGCAACTATTATGCATGCGATTACGATGGAGGCGATTGCAGTGCAGGAACGAAGCCTTTCGAGAAATGCGAATCCCCCAGCTACTGCGCTCATGTTTTCCGAGATGGCAAATGCGACCCGGTAGGCTTAAAAAATATTTACCCCTTACTAAAGCTAGTTCCTAAAAAGCGAAACTTCGATTTTTAGCAAATTTTTAGTAAACCACAAAGTTTAAAAAACTTCGATTTTTTTCCCAACGTGATCATGAATGAAAGTGACTTAGTGACATTTACCATACAACGACTGCACTCTTTGAAACGAAAATGCATGTAAATAGTATAGGCAATGAGCATAGAATAGAAGTTAGGAGTCCGGGGTAAGAAATCTTGAGGCAGCTGCGTATTGACCAGTTAAAGAAACACCGTGGAATTCAAACTTATCACTGATCTTGTTCAATATTGTAAAAGTTTCAATCATTGGCGAGTTCAGGAGAGCCAAATCAGG